CACACACACACACACACACACACACAGAGATAGATATATTTCATAAATAAATTATTATAGCTATAAAAGTGAATATATCTTTCAGTTATCACATTTGTATCAGTTTCTTACTTGGCATAATTTTGTACATTTATAGAGAAGTAGATTATTTATTGTGTAAAAATACTTAATGTACTACTTTTTGAGGGTATTTTTAAATAAGGTAACAAAGGGACTGTATATTTTTCTTTTTTAAATAACTGACCTTTTGTGATGAAGGTAAATTAATGTCTGCTTATAACCACTAATCATTTTTTTGGAATAATATGGCTAGGATATATGAGAACATGCCATCTTCAAAGTAGCTCTCCTAACAGCCTGAGAATTAAGTAAATCAAAATCACAATAAAAGATCTTTGATGTAACCATGTATTAAAAAGTTATATTTTAATCTTGACCCTTCCTCAGCTACATGGATAACTTAGTATAACCCAGACTAGTTTTATTAGGATTGTTTGACCAATGCAGAAACAGTTGATCCAAACTGGTTCCAGACTCTGAATTCTATATGAACACCTAGATTTTCCACAGATTCCCGGATCAAGCACTATGTTTTTATGCTGTCTGAAATGATGAAGACCTTATGAATGACATTACAATTAACAAGCTCTCTTTAATACTATTTTCAGCATATTTTGGATTCCTTCCATTTTCTCCCAAGTCAGTGCTGGTATAGTTTAAATTTTGTATCTCAACACTGATTTCAACCTTCCCCCAGTTGTGCATGCTTTCACTAGAGGAGTAGGGTTGGGGTGTTGTAGCTATCATGGTTCAGGAAATATGTGAGGAGAAAGATTTTTTTGTACACTTGGTCTAATAAAAGATATCAGAGAGTGAAAGAGTGGTCTTGAAGCCTGGGCATCACTTCTTAAGAGTGGAGTTACAGAGCTTCCCCTTGTAAAAAGTGAAGATCTAGGTCCTACCACTAAATAGAGATATTCCTTGTGACGCCATAGAAGTTGTGGAGGCAAACTCATCCAGCAGAGCTATCATATTCCATTAGTTCTTATTCATCAATAGACATTTATTGCTATTTATGGCATGATAACACAAAGAACTCCTGTAGTGCTATGTGCTGCATAGCTGTGTGCTCCAAAGAGCTCTGTAAGTATATGAGGAGTCCCAAGAGAGAGATGTAGGGTGTAGACCAGGGGTGGGCAAAATATGGCCTACGGGCCAGATCTGGCCCATGGAAGTACTTTGTCTGGCCTGTGGCAGGTCCCTCAGCACTGCCTGGCCCAGGTGCTGTCTGGCCCATGTTGCATCCTGCTGGCCCTGGTGCACAGTGGGGCTGGGGCAGCTGGACTCCATTTCAGGGCAGCCCAGGGAGCAGTGGCCCCTTCTGGCTGCTGCTGCCGCCAGCCCCTATGGTCCTGGCTGGTCCAGAGCCAATCTGCTGGGGCGGTGGTGAGTCCGGAACGGGAACGGTAATGGGGCAGGCCAAGGCTGGGACCGGGGCTGTGTGCCCAGGTGCTGCTGGCGGTGGTGGGGAGGAACCGCAGGGCATGTGCGCTCCAAACTGTTGCCAGGCAGGAGGAGAGGGGAAGAGGGGTGCTTACTGGCCCACAACAGCCCCCCAAAACTGAATATATGGCCCACGGGCCCAGATAGTTGCCCACCCCGGTGTAGACAGACAAAACAGAAGGACCAGGGAAGTATCATCTGATTATGTCTCACAAAATACAGTGATTCTAGCACATCCCTAAAATACCACACAACTTGCTTGATTCATGGCTGGGACTAAAAAAGTCAGGGTTGCTGCTGGCCAGGATTGAAATGCATCCAATACAGAGAAAACAGAAGTCCAAAAATACCAGAGTCCAAAAATAGCAAATGTTATTAAGGGATGCCTGGGGCATGTGGGCAGCAGATTGCAGCTCTGCCCCAGCTCCAGACCACTGCAAGATCCCAGCCCTGGGTGTGGAGCAGTTCCCCATCCAGCCGCGTGCCCTGCCAGCGCTGCTGGGGCCAGTCTCCAGGGAAACCCTGGCCCCACGCTGTCATGGCACCCCCGCTGCTGGGGTCTCCATGGAAATTGGCTGCA